GAGACAGAGAACCCAGGCGCTGGGTGCGAGAGACAGAGAACCCGGGAGGTGGGTGCCAGAGACAGAGTCTCTCACCACTGCACCACCGCAGCTCTAGTTACTGCCGTCATGGCGCGTCACTTACCGTTCATGTACGGTAATGTCTGTATATGCATCTCTTGTTAAGGACGATCTGAATTTGTAATAGTGATGGTATCCTACCATCACTAATGGTAACCTACCATTACTAATAATGGTAACCTCCTATCACCGATGGCCAGATGCGGCGGGACCCCAGCAAGGTGTCCAGCGCGAAGATGGACGCGGCGGACGACGAGGTGGTCATGGAGGAGCTGCGGCAGCTGGTGTGTCCGCGAGACCCTGAGACCATCTACCACCGCCAGCACCAGCTGGGCTCAGGGTATGGTTCATTAATAATTGTACCACCGCCAGCACCAGCTGGGCTCAGGGTATTGTTCATTAATGGTTCTACCGCCGCCGTTATAATGAATAAAATGCAATCATAATTAAAGCAACGCGGTATTTATCAAACGAATCCAGGTATTGTTGGACCAAAATGTAACAATTCAAGCAATGCAGTTATTATTGAACTAATAATATCTCGAGAACGTTTGGCTCGGCCCAGGACCTTTCATAAGAAACTAACTAAACCAATACATATGAGGCCTAAATGTAATGGCAACATCCATGATTATTGCTATTGGGGGAGTCCTTGAACGGAAGGCACAGCTGCCTTAGGGCAGATCTTGGCATGGATCAGCCGTGCGACGCGCAGTCTGATACTCAGAGCTGCGAGAACGTTCAAAATTACGTGATATAATCAGTTGTAATGTCGTGTATGTTATCAGAGTTAACACTGCGTGACAATAGTGATGAAATAGCTGCTAGCAATAAGGCATCAAGGACAGTTTCAATCGCCAAGGTTCGTGTCAATTTCTGATGTAATTAGCTGTGTATCATCAGTTGTATATACGTCAAGTCGTGATAAAATATCAACAATCAACAGGGACAGTTTTAATCCTCAAAGTACGTGTCAAGTTCTGATGTCATTAGCCTGTATTATCATTTGCACATACGTCAAGTCGTGATAAATATCAACACTCAACAGGGCATCAAGGACAGTTTATGCGCCGAAGTAAGTGTCAATTTCTTATGTCATCAGCTATGTATTATCAGTGTTATCATTTATATGTCAAGTCGTGATAAAATATCAACAATCAACAGGGCATCAGGAACAGTTTTCATCGCGAAGGACCTGACGAGTAACGCGACGGTGGCCATCAAGGACATCGACATGGACAAGCAGCCGAAGAAAGCCCTCATCCTCACCGAGATCAAAGTGATGCGCAAGCTGCGCCATCCTAACCTCGTTAACTTCCTGGAGGCCTACCTGCTTGACGCGCACTTATGGGTAATTAATGTTTAGACGCGCAACTACCTATTCATTGATACTTCGATGCGCACCTGTTGATTAATGTTTCGACGCGCACCTGTTGATTAATGTTCCGATGCGCACCTGTTGATTAATGTTTCGATGCGCACCTGTGGATTAATGTTTCGACGCGCACCTGTTGATTAATGTTTCGATGCGCACCTGTTGATTAATGTTTCGATGCGCACCTGTTGATTAATGTTTCGACGCGCACCTGTAGATTAATGTTTCGACGTGCACCTGTAGATTAATGTTTCGACGTGCATCTATTGATTAATATTTAGACGTGCATCTATTGATTAATATTTAGACGTGCATCTATTGATTAATATTTAGACGTGCATCTATTGATTAATATTTAGACGCGCACCTATTAATTAATATTTCCTAACACTATCCCATTTAATCCTATTAACATCGCCATTGTGCTGGAGGTCAGGTCTCTGTTTTTTATTAAGGCCGCGTTTCATTACTTGGATGAATTTCCACAACTCTGTGAGAGATAATAATGATCTGCGTTGACAGGTGGTGATGGAGCTGCTAGACGGTGGGCCGTTGACAGACGTGGTGACAGAGACCATCATGAAGGAGGGACAGATCGCCGCCGTCTGCCTCAAGACTTTAGAGGGCATCCATTACCTCCACGCAAATGTAATATATAGGTTTTATGAATTTTACAAGTTGAAAAACCTAATATGTAAGCTACAATTTTAAATTTACCATTATCAAATGATGGTAAATTTATAAGTAAATTTATGTGATAAATGTAATGGTAAATTTAAATTTACCATNATGTACATGTGCCCCGCAGAAAGTGATGAGACTAGTTAAGATTATGTACATGTGCCCTGCAGAAAGTGATGAGATTGATGAAGATTATGTTCATGTGCCCTCAGAAAGCGATGAGATTTATATATGCCCTGCAGAAAGTTATCCACCGCGACATCAAGTCCGACAACGTCCTGCTGGGCAAGGATGGCAGCGTCAAGGTGACAGACTTCGGCTTCTGCGCCAACATCATGGAGAACGAGAAGCGCCAGACTATGGTCGGCACGCCCTACTGGATGGCGCCCGAGGTGCTGTGTCATCTGTATTGTTTGTGTGTCTCAATTGATTGTTGTGTAAATTGTGGGACTTGGCAGCGGGCTGTATGATCTATGTAACTGGATTGGTGGCTGAGAAAACATGGCTCCTGTGTGTAGACTGACTGCTGTGTGGGTGAGGCTGTGCAACCTTCATGAGGTTATTGCAGTCTGTGTGGGTGAGGCTGTGTACCCTTCATGGAGTAATTGCAGCCCGCGTAAGTAAGCATTGTTTGCTATAGTACTTCTCGTGTCTTTTAAGGCCCGTTTACACTAGGGGCAACGACATGGGCGGTGAGGCGCTTGACGCTCGTATGTTGCCTCTAGTGTAAATGGGCCTTTACATGTGCATTATTTGTATGCCTCCTGATGTTTTGGAGTCTTCAGTGTTCTTGATTTGTGTCGTGATATGATATAAAAAATTTAGAGAAAATTCTTCACCACAGTTTTATGTTATTTCCATGTTATTCATGTTAAAAGATTTACATTTTCGTAAAATTTCCCTTAGAATGGCTTATTTACTTTTTCATCATTTCAACATCTGTTGGGAGATGAAATTTGGAAATTTCACCCAAATACACAATTATCATTCAAATTAAAACTGTGCGTGTTCAAAAAAGCAAACGAAAATGCTGTTCCATTTTCTTGTCTTTGGTGGTCATTTACTTATAATATTGGGCGGATGCAGGTGGTGAACCGGCAGCAGTACGACCACAAGGTGGACATATGGTCGCTGGGCATCATGGCCATCGAGATGGTCGAGGGAGAGCCGCCCTACCTCAAGGAGACGCCCCTGCGAGCGCTCTACCTCATCGCCTCCACCGGCAAGCCGTCCATTCCGTCCTGGGATAAACTGTCCACTGACTTCCAGGTCTGACATGACGTTATTTACGGTTAAACTTACAGTTGCCGTCCATTCCGTCCTGGGATAAACTGTCCACTGACTTCCCGGTCAGACATGACGTTATTTACGGCTAAACTTACAGTTGCCGTCCGTTCCATCCTGGGATAGACTGTCCACTGACTTCCAGGTCAGACATGACGTACATAATATCTATACTCGTACTTAGGTTAAAATATCTTTAAAGAAACATCATATCCAAACCTACGGTTCATAGTGATGTTACCTTCTATCTTGGCGATGTTACCTCATGTGTAGCTGTGTTACCTCATGTGTAGCGATGTTACCTCAAGTGTAGCGATGTTACCTCATGTGTAGCCATGTTACCTCATGTGTAGCGATGTTACCTCATGTGTAGCTATGTTACCTCATGTGTAGCGATGTTCCCTCATGTGTAGCGATGTTACGATGTTCACCGATGTTGCAGGATTTCCTGAACCGCTGCCTGTGCGTGCGGAGCGAGGAGCGGGCCGACACCACGGAGCTGCTGGGGCATCCGTTCCTGCGCTGTGCCACCTCCACCACCACCCTCAGGCCCCTCATAGAGGCCGCCCAGCGCATCCTCGACAAGCGCATCACCCTCTGCAAGTGAGGGCACCACCCTCTGCAAGTGAGGGCATCACCCTCTGCAAGTGNCTGGCGGTTCCCTCGTCTGTTACACACGTTTCTACGGATATGTTAATGATTGTCTCTAATGCTATTTTTATCTAAAGACCTGATAATGCAAATTCATGAGCATTTAGATACAAAAGATTAGCTGTTGGAGGTTTGTAACTGTGTCTCTAATTCTTGCACCCGTGACTCTCTATCTCTCTGACACCCGTGAATCTTTCTCTCTGGCACCCGTGACTCTCTATCTCTCTGGCACCCGTGACCTGTCTCTTATACACATCTAGATGTGTATAAGAGACAGTACTTTTACTTACTTACTCCGTCAATTTTCTATTTTTCTGTCCATGTCTGCATCGCTGTCTTTTCCTGTCAGGTCTGTTTTCCACTTCTTGCCAGACTGCATAGGTATTTTCTATTTTTGTACGTACACTCCGTACTATTGTAATGTTTAAAAATTTTGCAGCATGGCAAGCTCCAAGTCATTCTACATTAAAAAAAATATATTTTAATACTTTCCAAATAATATTGTGTCATATTGTCCACATCGTGTTACACACTTTATGCTCGTAGCCCTGATATGCCCTCTAGCCCGGCTGAACTGGGCTAGAGGGCTAGGGTGACCTACACAAAGTGCATCGATCAATCTTTGGACAAAGTCTTGCTCATTTCTATGAGTGTGCCTCGACTGCGCATTGATGCTGAAGTCTTCGGTCATTTTGCCTAACCTGATGGATGCAGCCCCTCACTAACAATACCCTCGTCCCTCCCTCACAATACCCTCATCCCTCCCTCACAATACCCTCACCCCTCCCTCACAACACCCTCATCCCTCCCTCACAATGCCCTCATCCCTCCCTCACAATACCCTCATTCCTCCCTCACAATACTCTCATCCCTCACAATTATTCAAGTGAGGTTATAACAGAAGTCATCTGTGCAATACGAGTCAAATAAAAGCGACGTTATTTATCTTATTCATCTTGTTGATCTAAGGATGAAAAACTCCACAGTTTGTGGTCAACAGAAACAATTTATATTAGCATGAAATTCTCTTAAAAAATTTCAATTTTATAAATTCTATGTCCGTTGTTAGAAAATTATTACTGCATTTCACCCATCGTGATTTGTGAGACTGGGCCTAACTTACCGAACCTTTTTATCGTTATCAATTCAAACAACTCTATTTTGAACACAAAACTCAATGTTTCAGTTGATAAGTTAGAATATAGGCATAAAATAAATTCAGAAGTAGTACAAATAACATTTACTCAGTTTGCCCTCCGTTATAATCAATGGTGAGCATGAGACGTACAAAGAAGCATTAAAGGCGTTGCAAAATTCTTCACTTGTTCTATTTAACAGCTCAATAATAGGTGTTACTTCTTTACAATTTTAGCCATGGTTAAATTTACATTTCTCTCAAATTCTCTGTAATTCATTATTATGTTTCGGAAGTGTCAAATGTAGAAAAAAGCTAAGATGGAAATGTAAGAATTTAGATTTTAATGACTGGTGCTGGGAAACAATGTTTACACTTCATTACTTTAGTTACCTGTTAACAGGTATCATCAATATATACAAAGATCCTTCCTTTTACTAGTATAATTGACACTAGTGGATGCTATTCATAGTTGCTTGGTATTTGTACTTTATCTTCCATTTACACGAGCTGATTGTTGCTAAGCATATTTGGATATTGCGATATTGCTGTGCAGTTCTAAAATCTTGAAAGAAATTGTGAAGTTGTGTGTTGCTATGTAGAATATTAACTTTATTGTAAATTAGTGGAACAATATAAAGTTGGAGGAATTAAGGCTTTATATTGCAGGTGTTGCTTGCATTCCATCGTGTGAAGAAATGCGTTGTTTTATTGGTCGCTAAAGCTAAAACTAATTTTATTATTCAGCCCGTGAATGTCTTTGTGTCCAGCATCTTGATGTTCGTCCTCGTGAAATCTTCCCTTTTTTAGCCTGCCATTCAATGCCGAATAATACCCAAAATAGGAATTTGTATGTATATTTAATGGAGTACTCCATGAGTAATTAGCCCACCTAGGTAATTTAACTTGGGGTAATTGTAATCGGGGTTTAGTACCATAGAGGGCATAAAATTTTCCTTCAGGGACAAATTACCTCTGGTGGTTGTTTATAAATTTTTACTCTGTAATGTAGATGTAGCAGAAGAAAATTCATTGTTGATGACATTAATGAAGTAGTTACATGCTTAATTCATCATGTTGAATTGAGTGACTAGGTCGTCATGCCAAAGACTTTTGCTGGTGGTAAGTTCTTTCTTTGACTGATTTAAAGGAATTCATCGCGTGTGAGCGATATTGTATTATAAGGGCCAAACGAGGCTTGTGTTGTTTAAAAGAAAAGCCGGGCGAAATAATCGTGCGAATTTTTTGTGTTGTAGATGAATATCTGTAACATGATGTCATTTTCGATGGAAAATAGTACCACGCCATCGATGTTTTCATGTAATGCAATAAATATTTTTAGGTAATACAATATCGTTCGTCTTATCAGTTGACAAGAGATGTTCAACAATCATTCCTGCTATGCCAAGCAACAATGATTCCTGTTCGTATGTAACCAATCATTGAACTCGTCAAGCGGGCGCGTTGATGAAGTCTTGTTCAAATAATGATAAGATAGCCTAAGCTGTAATGCGTGAATATAATAAGCTGGCTGTATATATCATTAAGAATGTAGGTCCCTCAAGTGCGAGTTTTACTTCGGATTCCTACTGTTATTCTTTCCTTCAGTCAGTGAAGCATTTATTTTCCAATTATCTTTTCTTCTAAAAATTTTAACTTTATTGATGTTTTGCAAGGTTGAATTTCTTGCGGTCGTAGAAGAAGTTCCTTGTGTCATGCAATTCTCTTATTCGGTTTTTTACTGGGATTGATTTACATATGAATTTATTTTGAATTCTTAGCTGTATTCCTGATATTGTTAGTTTGGTGCAGTTTGCCTAGTTTCTTTATGTGTAAAATATTCATTTTTTAACGCCATGAACTTGATTGTAATAATNGTGTTATGAGGTGCACCGCCATCACTGATGTGTTATGAGGTGCACCGCCATCACTGATGTGTTATGAGGTGCACCGCCATCACTGATGTGTTATGAGGTGCACCGCCATCACTGATGTGTTATGAGGTGCACCGCCATCACTGATGTGTTATGAGGTGCACCGCCATCACTGATGTGTTATGAGGTGCACCGCCATCACTGATGTGTTATGAGGTGCACCGCCATCACTGATGTGTTATGAGGTGCACCGCCATCACTGATGTGTTATGAGGTGCACCGCCATCACTGATGTGTTATGAGGTGCACCGCCATCACTGATGTGTTATGAGGTGCACCGCCATCACTGATGTGTTATGAGGTGCACCGCCATCACTGATGTGTTATGAGGTGCACCGCCATCACTGATGTGTTATGAGGTGCACCGCCATCACTGATGTGTTATGAGGTGCACCGCCATCACTGATGTGTTATGAGGTGCACCGCCATCACTGATGTGTTATGAGGTGCACCGCCATCACTGATGTGTTATGAGGTGCAGTATTGCTGTGCCTCAAATAAATCCCTCAATACTTATTGTACGTGAGCAAGAAACTGCGTGCATCACAGAAATATGTTTGAAGGATCGTACATTTATCAACATAGAAGTACGGAAGACATAAAATAACATAACATAGTGATGTCGGCGCTGAAGAGTAGTCCTGATGTGGCCTGTCGCCGATTCTTGAACTTTTCGTGCCTTGTTCACAGAAGATCTAAAATCGTGTCAATTGATCGGATATTTTCAAAATTGACGATAGTTTGAAATAGCTACTAGACTTCCACAGGGTTCGATATGGTGCTAGAAATTTCAAGTCTGATACCAAGTAATTCAAGGCAGCACAGTTAACACTGTGTTGTGATTAACACTGTGTGATATGATTCTTATTATCCGGAATTTCCCTCCACTCTTTACCCTGCTCATCGTTCTAGCTACTGATTTTTTATCTCGTTTCTATTTCCACTTCATTCCATTTGAAATTGAAAAAAGAGAGCACTATAAAATATTAAGTGCGCTGCATGCGTAAAGGCAGTGCAGCGTACCTTCACGTACAGGATCAGCGGAGGGAGCTGAACCTGAACTACTGGGGAAGGCTGAAACACCTGGAACTGTACTCAGCGGAGAGAAGAAGAGAAGGGTATTTCATACTGTAATCTTGGATGATGATAACCGGACTGCCTCCCAACTTTGAGAGTGAGACCTCCAGAATAGTGAAACATTACAACGAAAGGAAGGAGAGACTGTGCAGGATTCCCCCATTTAATAACCGAGCCGCGGCCAGAGTACAGACTCTTCGTGAGGGATCACTGTCCGTGGTAGTACCGAGACTCTTTAATGGCTTGCCAAAAGCGCTGAGAGGAGGGGAGTTTACTCTTGCAACATTCAAGAGACGACTGGACAAGTGGTTGAGAAAGATCCCGGATTGTCCAGTAATGGGAAACTACCATCAGCAAGTGACAAGCAACAGCATCTTGCATCAGCTGGCCCAAAGGAGGGCAAATAGATGGAACACCTCCAACGTTACATCCGGGACCCGAGGGCGGGGCGATGCCAAGCGCCGGCTTTAAGACGGAGGACGACGAAGGCGGTGCATCAGCTTGACCGTGGACTACGAAGTCCTAAACTCATCATAAGGTCATGCGCACCACGCATGCAGTTCAGACAGCCGAGCCCTGCAAAACACGCATTTGACGAAGCGGCGACGCGAGCAACACTTCACAATGAACTCGATAAATAAATTGTACTTTATGGCGTACCGCACGACGCGATAATTCGTCTAATTGCTCGTATATATTATTCGGCTGAAATATTTTCGAACTTTGGCATCAAATAAACTATCATTTTGTGGTTCGGAAATTAAAACCTGAAGTTCCTGAAGCCGTGAGTTATGTACTGAAAGAATCATTCCGCCCTACCGTAATTTGGTGCTAGTAACACTTGATACTTGTGTCGTCTCTTCAATATTCATTTGTACAGACATTAGACTTCAGACACATAATATTTATTTATTTAGACACATAATATCAACTGGACATATAATATTTCATAGACTATCCTGTAACACTGCAAGGACATTAGCGGTAATAAAATTTAATTAGAATACATTCGTGATAATCTAGGCTAAAGGCTGGTAAAATAAAGCGAAATAAATCGGCCAGGAAGAAAGATAAGCACTAAGAACAGTACGAAACATAAGAACATGAGAACGGGAAACTTTGGTGCCAGCAGTCATGACGTCAGCTATAATGTATAATGAATACGAACTAATGAATCCATACAAAACAAACGCACGCACGACATATTCGCATGTGATACAAAAATACATTTAAGATTGGATTTTGTGCCGCAGTATTCGGAACAAGTGAGAACAATAAAAACAGTCCTTATACACCGATAAAAATTCACTAACGCTCCTCATTCACACTGCGTATAGACGAGGCAAGGGTTAACATTCATCGAGCGAGCGTGCGACCGCGATGAACACTGATGCTTTGGGCAACACCTGCCGAGCACACATTCTCGGAGGATACATTCCCTCGAAGGATACCTTCCGTCAGAGGATATATTCCCTCCGGGGGATACATTCCCTCGGAAGATACATTCCCTCGGAAGATACATTTCCTCGGAAGATACAATCCCTCGGGTGATACATTCCCTTTAGGAAAAAATTCCGTCGGGGGATACATTCCCTCTTAGAATAAATTCCGTCGGGGGATGCATTGCCTCGGAGAATATATCGGACAACATTATTGGATGGAACGCAAACGTCGAACTTAGACGGAGCATCAGGTTAATTTTTGTTGAAGATAAGTTTGCTGTTTCGGACGACTTGGGTGAGGCGGTTGTGGGGGAGCGCCGGACTTACTTCTGCTCGAAGTACAGGAAATCCTGCACAAAAAGAGGGTAGGTCACCTGACTGGGAGGGTAGGTCACCTGACTGGGAGGATGAGTCAACTGAATAGGAGAAAATTCACCTGACTTGGAGGGTAGGTCACCTGATGTTATTATTTTTTCCGGCATGTATACAGCATTTGGTTTCCTATTCTTTTTTGCTGATCGCGTCAAACACAATGAAGATTGATTCTGGTACCGAAACAGGTAACGCCGTGCGTAACACACAATACCAATAAGGTAATAACGCAATAAAAGCAGCGACCTTTCAGCCAGAAATGAATTATACGGCGATAACAATAAAGATGAGCGCCATAGCTTACAGGGTACAATTAGTTAATTACCATTTTAAAAAATCACATTACTTAAACGGTGGTGTCAGCATTCATGATTAGGTCATGTTGAAACCCACAACTCGCTTTTTAAATTTAAACCACTCGGCCAAGCTGAGGCAATGAGAAAAGAACGGTGAGCTGCCAATTAAATCTCAATAATCATGGCAAATTACTCTTGATTTTGTTTTCCTATTGAGTAACCCAGCATTGAAATATTTTCCGAACAGAATCTTTTCTGTTAGAATTCTTACTCATATTAAAGTGTTTCACGTCCTTTACGTCGTGAACATCCAAGACCACGACTTTTCTGCATTATGTAATCTCTTAAAACAAAATTATAAACCGCCCCCAACGCGACTCACGATGAGGAAGAGGGCACCGAGTAGCGTGGCCTTCACCTTGACGTCCAAGTCAAGCGGGAAGTTGATGCCGAAATTCTCGGCGTCGGTGAACATTTCACTCACCAGACCGGCCCAGTGCTTTGATATCTTGCCCACCTTCGCCTTGCCGTCCGCTGACAGGATCTGCAACAAAGTGTCGGCATTATTGGCTGAAGCCTAGCGTTATTGGATGATAATGTTATGTTTTTAGCTGTAAACAAAACAAACCGTCTGATACCAAAATTCACTGAAAGAACTAAGTTTATTGTTTTTAGATCTTCTGTTGTGATGTCGGCGCTGAAGAGTAGGCCTGATGTGGCCTGTCGCCGATTCTTGTTCTTACTTTTCGTGACTTGTTCACTGAAGATCTAAAAGCATGTCCTTTGACCGGATCTTTTCAAAACTGACGACGGTTTGAAATATCTACTAGACTTCCATCGGGTTCGCTATGGTGCTAGGCATTTCAAGGCTGAACATATATTTTTCCATAGCTTTATCTAGTCTGTTCTTGAACGCGTTTATACTCGGAGCGTCAACGCTGTAATCGAGAAGGCTGCTCCATATGTCGCTGATTCGAAGCGAGAAGAAATGTTGTAGCGTGGATGAGTTGCAGCGCAGTTTTTTAGTTTATGGTCGTGGCCCCTGGTGTTTGTTCTTGTTACAAGTTCTTGTAATCCTTCGACGACCTTGTATAAAACATATGAGTATATTTGTATACTTCAATGAGGTCTCCACGTAGACGTCGATAACAGAGGCTTGGAAGCTTCATAATCTTTAATCTTTCTTCAAAGGACTTGCCCTTCAAGCCTGTAATTATCCTTGTTGCACATCTTTGAACATTCTCTATAAAATTTTTGTCCTTTTCAAGTCTCGGTGACCACACAACGTTTCCAAACTCTAGGTTCGTGCGCACGTCTGCAACAAACAACTGCTTCATCGATTATGCGTTTAGGAACTCGTAAGAGCGTTTGATCAGGCCAAGAAGTTTATTGGATTTATTAGCTTTCGTTTCAACATGCTTAGAAAATTTCGGTTCCTTGTCGAGATAAACTGCCAAGTCTTTTTCTACATTAGACTTTTCCATCATTACTCTCTCTTTGCAACCATGTCTTCTCATACTGTAATCTTGCTGTTCATTGTTCTTCCCGAGGTGAAGTACTTACCACTTGTCAGCATTGAAACGCAGCTGCCACGTATCAGCCCAGTTAACTAAACTGTCAAGATCATCTTGCAATTGCGCTTTATTTGACGCATCCTTCATTGTATTATAAACTTTTGTTTCGTCGGAATACATAGAGTCCACGCTTCTGGCAGATCGTTTATAAAAGTAACGAACAAAATAGGCCCAAGAACGCTTCCTTGCGGCACGCCACTGCGCACTGATGCCCAGTCTGACACGGTTCCGTTAATTGGACGTTAATTCTAGTAGGTAGACGACACGTCGTCGTCTACCTACTAGAAAATCTCTAATCCATTGGAATACGTTTCCCTCAATTTCCAAAGACTTCACCTTATGCAACAGCCGCTCATACGGAACACTGTCAATTGCTTTGGAAAAACGAGGTACAATGCACTGGCTCCCTTTCATCCAGCAGGCTAGTCCAATCGTTCAACGTAGACAATAAGTTAGTGGTGCAGGATCTAGCAGCAATAAGACCATGTTGACAATCTGATATGAGATGGTGAGCAGTCAAGTGATCGATAATCCTATCCCTCACAACAGATGCCATTACCGGACAAACAACACTTGTCACCAGACTGACAGGGCGATAGTTACCGGGGCTACTTTTGTCACCTTTTTTGAACAATAGTGCTACTTGAGTTTCTTTCCAATCGAACGGCAAAGTTCCTTCGTTCAAGGTTTTTTTTGAAAGAATACTGTCAATGGGCCGGTCTGGATGGTTGCTAATTCCTTGAGCAATCTAGGATGGAAGCCGTCTGGTCCGCATGACTTGATGGGATTTAGAGCGACCAAGCACTTGAGAACCTCTTCTTCGTGTATTTTAAAACCTGTTAACTTCGAGCCGACTGGGCGCTTCTCAATAACAGGAATACTGTTCAAGTCCTCATCTGTGAACACACTGCTTAAGAACTGCCCAGGGTAAAATTTACAGACGCGACAGCTTCTGATTAGGATTACCAGATGCTGGGCGATTCTAAATTTTGTTAGGGTACACCTGAGGAGTTTTTCTTACTGAAGCTGCTACCACCATCGCCATGGAATGAGCCTTATTTCCAATAATTACTGTAATATCTTGTCTTAGGCTTGTCTTTAGGCTTCGAATGGCTTTTCATTCTATTATGCATATGTAAAGGATTTTTACGGAGCATCTTTCTCCTGCGCACATATGATTTGGATCTTTATTATAGGTATGACCAGAGTCGACGAGCTTAGGCACAACTCAGTCTCTAACCAGAACTTGCCCTAGATTTTTCAGCAATTTGGTACGTTATTATTTACTTATTATCATTTTATTGTTTGGTTAACCTCGATTATGTTTTCTATATCGTTTTTAATTTCGGCTATCTTCAATTTGTGTTCAAATTGTTCATTCTTTGTTTTCAGAAACCGTTACAATTATCTGCGCCTTCGCATTCCGAACAATCCACGAACAAGAGCTATTTTATTTATAGCATAGATGATTTCGAATTTGACAAAGACTAATAATCGGCCATTATCGATAATACTTCAAATGTAGAACGTCATTGACTAAGTTTGAGACTCACCTCGAACTCGACGTCGCCGCAACAGTTGCACTGGCATATTGGCCCCTTGATTTTAAGGACCGTCTCTCCAGCCTCGTTCTTGATGTCAAACTTTGGAGTGAGGATGCTCCATCGCTCCTCGATCCTGCCCACGACCGTGCCAGGGGGGCACTCAACGTCCATCGTCTGCAATATTCAGCTTCAAATGTCTTAATATCTGAGTAATGATGTTTCTATCTTATCAAATCTAACTACACAATTCAGTCTTTTTTACGACCATGTACTTCCCCGAAGTTAAACACGAAGTAATGGATAAAGAATATTGAAAAACCGTTAGAAATTTCTCCCGTACGTCACCGGATGTTCTAAAATCTAAAACAAGAAAAATTTTTAGTAAGCAATTGATTCACTAGGGCATTTGCACACGCTAGACCATTTTCACCAGTGGACAGCATGAGTATAGCATCATTGTCACCTAGGCGCAGCGAGAGCACAGCCATAATTATCACCTGAATAAAGCAGGGCTACAGCGGTCAAGCCATTATTGTATCACATTATTGTAACATGGTCACCTGGAGACAGCAGGGGAAGCAGCAGCCCTGGCACGCGAGAGGGCGGCTGAGTTTCATAACTTCGGTTTGGTTGCAGTCGATGATCTTGATGTCGAGGGGCCGAAGGTTACCGCACATGTTACGGGAGCAGCAGTCCGAATCCTCGAGCGCCATGAAGATCGTCTGTCCGTGGCCGTTTTTTACCTCATATTTGTTGGCTGACTCGTAGTCCAGCAAGACTGCACAAACGAGCGAACTTAATAATAATATAAGCGATGTTACCGTAGAAGATTAGGCCGTTAGTCCTGTCGCCGCTTCTGAACATTGCATTGGTCGACCTATCGAAAGCTTTCGACAGTGTCGAGTGTCGACCACCCTCTCCTTCTAAGCATGATCGCGGCATCGGACCTACACCACAACCTGGTCCGCTGGCTGTGCTGCCATCTCAGAGGCAAGATGGCATCCTGCCTCTACTTCAGAACGCAATCTCCACTCAGAACACTCCACCTCAGGGGTCCCCTAAGGTTCGGTCATCTCGCCGGCCCTATTCAACCACTTCATCTCTGACATCCCTGTCCCGGTCCCCAATATTGTCTCGTACGCAGACGACCTCACTATCTTCGTGTCGTCCCCGAGGTTCGACGCTGCGAAGGCTGACCTCGCTGGGCTTCTTCGAGGCGTCTCAGACTGGTCCGCTACCAAGAAACTGGCCGTGGAACCGGGCAAGTCCTTCGTCACGCTCTTCACCCCAGACACTCACCAATCTCCCAGTGGCAGGGTGGCCCAGTGGTTACTGTTCAGAGGATCAGGATTGGAGCAGAGAGGCGCGGGTTCGAACCCAGCTCTGTGCGCCAGTTTCTAGTCAGAATCGGCAAGGAGGCCAGGCGGTTTAAGCAAAGCAGAATTGGAGCAGTGAGTTGCGAGTTCGAGACCGCAACAAGCTGTGTGAATGTTCTGCGATGTTAATAATCGGCGACAGGGCTACGGCCTAATAAACGCTGAAACTACTATTATTTTTATATTATTAATCCCGATCACACCCTTCTGCCACAATCGGCAACGGCATCATCCCCCTAGATAGGACCCCCAAAATCCTAGGCGTCACCTAGAACACTCACTACACATTCTCACCTCACGTCAGAGCCATAGCCACTATAGCGATGGGTTCTAAGTATCCTAAAAGCCTATAGCCGGCACTAACTGGGGTTTCCCCAGGGAGACATCATTGCCACCTACCGAACTATCACGCGCTCAATCCTCAGTTACGCTACCCCATCTGGTACCCTGTCGCCTCACGCACTGCAATAGCAAGCCTTCAAACTATCCAAAACTCTGCCCTGAGACTAAGCAACCGGCTGCCTCAAAATGGCTCCGATTTTCCATCTCCACCATAATACCGCGGTGTCCTTCCCCTGTCCGCTCACCTGGACCTGGCTTGTGCCCAGTTCCTCGCCAGCGCCCTCCAACCCTCCCATACATCATTCCCCATTGCCTCTGCTCCCCTCGGAGACCGCTCCATGAAAGCCTCCATCCAGTTGAGATTCGGCCACCTTGTTGCGCCATTTCTGGCAAACGGCATCATGCCCGCCGGTGCCTATGGAGAGGCTAAGCGCTTCCTTCGCAGGGAGATCGCCTCCCGCGTTGCGGCGACCGACGATAACAACGCAGTCATTGCAGCCCCATCACCAGCGATTATATCAGAAAAGGCCTCGCTTCCTTGCCCCTACCGCTCGACGCTATCCCAGCTCCGGGATACTGTAGTTCCCTGGCGTCCTACATCTTTAGAGTCCGACGCTCCCACAGCTCCACCTGCCGAAGTGCAGGTACCTCCTCCAGTCTGCCCAGCATCTCTTTGCCTGCTCCTCCTTCCCCACGTCCCTCAGCGTCTCCCCATTGTGGGACAGCCAGGTGGAGGCGGTGGAGTTCCTGGCCACACTCCCTGCCTTCGCCTATCTCCCTCCTCTTCATGTACCTCCTCTTCGGCCACCACCGGAGCCTCCCCTTGCAAGAGTAACGGCGCAAGAAACAACATTTCGGCCAAAACTTTTCACAGTTGGCTGCTGGTATCGAACCCACAACTTACTGCTCCAATTCTGGTGCTCTGAACTTAAACAACTCGGCCACCCTAAAATTCAAGCGGTGATATAACAAGTCTCATTTTCAGTAGATTAACTATTCAAATGGCAAACGCGTGGCTTTCAAGTTCAGTGGATTTTCGGTCCAAAATAACAAACGTTGATCAATAATTATAATTTATCATGAGATATCGTTGCGCAAAATTGTTTTCTGTTGATACAAAAATTGTTATAATTGCTGAGAAATTATAATCTCCAATAGAAGTAGAACCCAGAATCATAACATTACCATCAGCTTACACGATTTTAGAATAAGAATACACAACCGTAAATTTGTATTATTGATCATTTGCACCATAAAACGTGATATCGAATATCATAATGTTTACAAGCAGCAATTACGTAACCTCGCGCTCAGGATAACAAACGGCATATCAGTCTAGCACAAGCAGCTTAGCTTAGAATTTCCGGTATCAATAATCCTTGTCATTTCTGACTCCCGTAATCCTGAATTCCATTATAGTGAATAACATTAATAGATTGCAGCTGAATATTGACTTCTTTAAACCCATATTTCAAATGGAAACCTCATTGGACTTGGAAAAAATTATTATGCAATTTTAAAATCATAAAAAAATGACGTAGTTTTTATATCATTCGAATTTTTTCTTGCTTTATTTTTAGGGCAGAAGAAACACTTTGAGGTAGTGAGAGTACGGAGAAGTTAAATGTTATTTTTCACCATTAATTTGGTCAGCACTCTACCCTTTATGCAATATCTCGACACGATAAGTATCCTGGATACGCGCCCAAACAGCTCCTCCTTTATATTGCGCGCCTGCACATAACACAAACTTTGACAAAACAACAAATATTTGAAAGTTATAGCAAGTTTATTGATGAGAGGAATAAGGGTTCTAAAGCCATACTCAAAATACGTGTGTGTAGGGCCAGGTATTTCAGGACGAGCTTAACCGTACCGCTAATTCACAAGTTTCAATGATTGCCAAGGACTCCCACAAGAATGAAGGCTCCCACAAGTCTCCACTAACATCAGAACAAGCAGCAACAGTTCTGAGAATGCAGAACTGTTGAATTCGTTCAACATCATCTGAATAAAATTCCATCTCCCAACTTCACTGCACACAATTAATGCAAAATAAAATGATTTTGTTGGGAAAACGTACATAAGAAGTTAGAATTGCTAAACATAAAAATACCAGAATAAGGATCGAACATACAGGGGCTAGACAAAATTAGGGAAACACCTGAAAAATCCACAAAATTTATTATATTATGGTGTAGGTCCACTTTTGAGGCAATTACAGCCTCAATTCTCCGAGGTATTGATTTGTACAAATTGTGAATTTTTTCCAAATAAACTTCAACCAATTCTCCAGTTAAAATTCCCTCCAGCTTTTTTGAAGACGATGGCGGCGGGAATAAACATTTGACTTGCATCTGTAAAATCGACCATAAATACTCGATAATACTGAGGTCCAGTGATTGTGGTGGCCAAATGAGATGCTCAACTTCATTAGAATGTTCCACGTGCCATTTTTTAACAATTCCAGCTGTATGGATCGAGGCATTATCATCTTGAAAGATGGCGTTCCCTCCGAAAATATTCTGAACTATTGGATGAATTTGGCCTCCAAAATTCCTCAATAGTCAAGGCTGTTGATTCCTCCAGGAAGAGAAATCATTGGTCCGCCTGATTTACAACAAATGGCACCCCAGAACATTACAGATCCCAGGTTGTACGGTTGTGAGGAGGCCGTCGGGGTTAAATGACTCTTTTACTCTTCCAACGTAAACTCGGCCAGAAGTTGGAAATAAGGTAAACGATGATACATCAGAGCAAACCACATTTTTCCACTGCTCGAAGGACCAATTCTGTAGGTTTTTACACCACTAAACGCTTTGAGGCATTTTTATTTGAAACTAGAGGCTTTCTAATTGCAGCTCTTCCGTAGAATCCAGATCTGCGCAGCACTCTGCGGACAGTCCTTATGGAAACTGGGTTCTGTAGGCGTCTGCACAGGTCTGCAGTAATTTCAACAGCTGTGGTCTTTCGATTGTCCCTCACAATTCAATTTAGCTACCAACGATCTCTCTCGGACAACTCCAACTTTTGGCCAGACCTGTGCTTTGTCGAGGACATTTTACCTTCTTTTTCGAAAGCAGGTATTACTTTTTAGCCAGTGCCTCTAGAAACATCTAGCATTCGGGAAGTTACTGTCATACGGGCACCAACAATTTGGCTTCCTTTGAAAGTCAGAGTGGTTTGACATTTATAGGTTATAGATTGGGTTATAGACACAAAAATTTCCCAAAAATATCTACAAGGTTCTAATATCAATTATTAGCAACAATAAACAATACTGTGGGGGAATCGATCCATATGTTCGCAGTTGTGTATCTCGTTTGGATAATAATGTGCCCCGTAACTGATCCTTGGTTTGGGTCACGATCCAGGCTCTTGATTAGAAATAACAAAACAAAAATGACTAAAAAAAGGTAAGGCAAATCGAATCACTAAAGCATATACAGATTATTACACATTGATCAATATAAAAATCTTATTAGAATATATATACACTGAGTCGTTCCTAGACACGATACATTTGACACAGCTCGATTGAGTCAGAGCTGATTCACTGTCGCTATCTTCGCTATCGTCTGCAACGCCACAAAGATAAAGACCACCAATAAAAGTTGCTACACTGAAACGATGCTGATTACATGTATGTGCAGTCGTACATTTAAGGGGAAACCTAACTTCTTCAGAATCACTAGTAGATATTTTTAACCTTGATTCATAAAAATTCACAGAAATTGAAAAATTAGCGTCAGTAAAAGAAAATTAGCACTAGTACAAAAACAGTAAAGCAAAGCCTCATGTCATACAACGGCAAAAGGGCATGAGTATTCAACATTAATACCGAACAACGAGCTTATGATCAGTTACACCTAAAATGTGAGTTGTGCTATTATTCAGGCCGATCACGGTTTTATCAAAGACGAAGAGCATAGCTGCTTTGAGGTCTGACAGCTCGATCATCTCAAGAGCTCGGTCGCTTATCAGACTTATCTGCGCACCCGCGTCGAGCAAACGACAAAAGGAGGAAGCAATGCTACTTCCACAACACAGCTCGACGCTGACAGCAGATTACATTTCCGTCGTGACACATGGTAATTAATACCACTACTTGCAG